TTTTGCCAAGTGCCCTTTTTCCGGGAGCAAAGTGCCCTTTTCTTGCGTGAGAAATGTTTTACGGATTGCCTTTTTTTGCCAAAAGGGCACTTTTCAAAACTTGAATTTATATTATTTTCCGGAAATTTTTTTCATTTCCGGGAAAAATATGATGTCCGAAAAAATTTTTTTGTATTTCCGGAAATTTTTTTTCATATTTAGGAAATTTCGATATATCCGGAAAATCAGAACAAACGTTTGAATATCTGTATAAGATGCCAAGAATCCAAATACGATTCGAAGATGACTGTTGACATTGGTATTGAATGCATGAATGTGTTCACGTTGTATCGTCGTCTTTATCGAGCATTTCTTTACCCCAGTGAATAACGTTTCGTTTAATGTTTTCTGTGAACCATTGTTAGTAACTTTTAACCAAATGTTAAGAAATATATACACAAACGTAATCAATATTTACGAAATATTGAAACGCATTTTTCAATTATTTTGTTCTGTTTGAATCAGTAGTATAGAATAAGCAATGAATATAGAAGGGCAACTCGTGTGTACAACGCGTCACCAATTTCAGTGCGCACGCGCGGGATCTCTCAAGCTCGCAGCCAGTAAAGCCAGTCAGTGCAATAGGGATTTGTATTACGAAATGTACATTTTGATCACAAAATCGACTATTTTTCGGAAACAAAGGATTGCAATATCAAACTACTACAACTGCCTGCAGAGGCAATGTAAGCCTAAATTATTATTGTGGCTAGCATAGAAAGAAACGAATATTTAGGGAGAAATTTGATATTGTTGTGTGAGCTACAGTCGGAATCTGAATGAAATGCGGACAGTCGACGCGTATACTGTGTTGTTTATTTCGATTTTCGAAGTTTATGTCAAATATTATCAGGCAGGACAGGTTTTGGATTGCATCAAATTTTATTTTAAAAAGTCTAAATTTCAAAGTCGCGAGCAATTAATCAAATTTATTTCGTGTGGGAAGTTGTCTGCCTGTGTCCGACATGTTAAACTACAAATGCAAACAATATCAGAAAATGATGTTATTTATTTATGTAATTAAAATATCATGATTATGAATTAACATTCATTCCTATTACTACAATATTACTTCGAAGACTTCAAATTTTTCCAATAAATAAACCAAACTATCATATGTTAATATACTGTACTTTATACTTTGTGCCCAGTAAACAACATGCATTAATACGTTTAGATTTCGCATTTAGCAATTCTTTAACAGCTCATAACCAACAGAAATGTATTCACTAACCTTCAAATTACAACCAGCGGTCGTGGTTTGTAATTTGAATCGTTCGTTTGCGAAAAATAGTCGATTTATTCAGCCAAGGGCCATTGTGCAATACAACAAATCTATAATAAATTGACTGGCTTTACTGGCTGCGAGTAATTAGAGCAGCAAATTTCCGGTATGCGCGAGGCGACATGCGCGGCTTCAAAAACTGCAAAGGTTCCAACTCAAGATGCCCTTCTATTCATTTCTTATTCTATGTCAGTAGTTCTCGAAAAAACGCATACACAAGCATAATCTTCTAGAGATGAGCCTGCATCATTATTTTATATTAGGGAGGGGAGGGACAACAATATATTAGCAAAAACATGAAAAATATGAAGGACGCTGCCTTTCGTTTCCATGGTAACCAAGCTAAAAATTATAGTGAGGTTGTTTAAAACAGCTCCTGAGAGAACAATTTTTTGAATTCAACCAAATAAATACTTTCACAACATCAATTGCATGCCACACTAACTATTTAGTTCAAAAATGAAAATCGATTTTTTCAAGTGGTTTAGATAGACCCCCATCTTTTCTAACCCTAATATAATCTTTATTTGACATTCCAAGTTCCAACTACAAACAGTTTTAATTTTAACAACAGGTTTAATTTAATAACAATGTCGTTATTAATATTATTTCAAAGTTGCTACATGGTTGTCATTTACAACTTGTTAACAAGTGCATGCTAAGTTTAACAAGACGCTCTACGGAGCGTTAACTCGCTGGGGCTATACAACTACGCACATTACTGTACAATGTACATGATACATACAGTCACAGCTCTTTCAATTGAGATTTAAGGTTTTCCCCGAGCTGTTAAAGCGGAAAAGTCGAATACGAGCGCGAAAGGCTTAATAACACAGTACTAAAATGCGGTGGGCCCTACAAGTAAAGTTATATTTAGTACGCTACATTCTTCTTCAAAACCAGTTGGTCTAGGATTCAACTGCGCTTTAAAACGTTCAAAATAAAATATTTTGGGGCTTTTGGGCTCAAAATACTATCAAAATGAAGCGAGACGAATCCACTGGTCATACGGCGCGCCGAAAAAGAGAAAACCAATGATACCAAAGTTATCAAGGGTCAAACTTACTGCATTTTTTTATAATTAGTTTAATAATTTTGAGCGATTGGCAACAATACAATTTCGCTTGGCTTTCAAAGACAAAGGCCATAAATCGCTATAGAACACTGTTGTTTAATAATACAGTATTTGACATTCGTAATTAGTACAATTTCTAACGCTGAATCGAACGGTGGTATTTTTATCCTTATTGGGCCATTAGGCATAGAAATACACTATGAAACGTACTGCGAGCGATTTGTTAACAAATACAATTTCGCTTGATTTTCAATTCAAAGGCCATAAATCGCTAGAATACTGGTGCTTAGTAACACATTTGACATCCGTAAGTACAATTTCTTACGCTGAATCGAACGGTGGTATTTTTATCTTTATTGCGCCATTATAGGCATTTATACAAATACAAGGACAAACCTGTGGACAAACGTAGTGCGAGTGATTTGTGATCAACAATACGTACTGCGAGCGATTTTTCAACAAAACA